ATTAAAGTTAGAGGAGATCAAAAGAGACAATTTGTGAACAATTATAGATCAATATATAAGAAAAAGCATGCGTTGAAATAGACGAGTTATATTCACTGGCTTCTTAAGTTATAACTTCGTCTTGCAACAAAATTTTACTACAACAAAATTTTTAATTATTTAACGACGTCAGTTCACTTAAAAGAATGCACCGAGTTCTATTATTATCCCAAATTTGGAGATTTATTGCTTCGCTTTTAGAATGATGAAAATAAAGTGATAATAGCCAATGTTGGAAAAAGGTTTTTGCGATTAGAATAGCTTCCTCATAACAAAATGGACTCTATTCTTTGATTGAAAGATATTGGAGATGAAACTGAGCACAAAATAGCATGTTGCCGTTTCCAAAGAGTTTCATTTTAATTATAAATTTAAAGCGCTTCTTAAGTTCCTTTTTATTATCAATCCTAACCATCATCTAAAAAATATTAAAGCTAAATTACATCAGAAAGAAATTGCTCTGTAAAATAAAACTTTACACTGACAACATTAAAAGGAACTTAAGAAGCACTCACGAATTATAAAGAAATGAAGTCTGTCTTTAAGAGAGCTTTAGTGAATATAATAGAATTATTATCAAAAGATTCAACAAAAATATTCCCGAATACATAGGTAAGCATAGATGAACTAATTTAAGAAAATTTTTGATGTTGACTGCAGCTCTAATAAAGATTTCTCCAAAATAGCTTACAACTTGGACTAAAAGGGATTTAACAAAGAATAATTTTTTTAAAAAATTTTTTTTTTCAATTTAAGAAATAAAAAAATTTCAAAAAAAAAATTTTTTTCAAGAATAAAAATTTCAATTTACAGCGCTCAATATGGACCCTTGGAATACTTTCTTCTTGCTCTGATACAACTCAAATTATTTCTTCAAAACCTATATTGAGGGGGAATAATTCTTGAAGCCAGGAAAGAAGATAAAGAAGCATGGGAATCACTAATACATAAATAGCCAACAAGGTAAAGGAGCTATCGTGATTCTCAATATATCGCTCAGAGCAAATGCAATCTACGTCTTCAGTGGTGCATCAATGAATGAATTATCTCTGTTCTGCTTTGTTTCTCACCCATCCCATAATCTGAACTACCCGCGGGTATCAAGCAGAAACAGTAGTGCTGCCTAAGTTTATCCTAAGTTTTCTCACATGCCACAGATTGTTACCTGGTTATGGAACATGACGAGCAATTATTTCTTTGATTTGGTTACAGTATCATATGCATTACTAAATATGCTTCTCTGCTTTTCCGGTTCAAGATGTCATCAAAAAGTATCAGTAGAACATTTCAGTGTCATTGAAATGGACGACAAATTATCCCATAATCTGCGTTTCTTTTTTTATCAAATAATATTTTGGTGCTATTCGACGTTTCAATCCATCCTGTTTTATTTCACAATTTGGGTTCGGTTTAAGACTTGGTTGCATTGAAGTGGAAAAGATATGCTTGGACAATTGCTGTTGCAAACAATTCAGAGATCGATTCATAAGCAAGTGTGTGGAGGATCAAACTGAGATCTAAATAAATAGCCTTCAAAATAATTCATGTTTTTCCTATACGAACTCAAACTAATCTCCCACAGCTAAACAAGAAATATGAAATATTGTTGTAGAGAAGACGTCTACACAGTGCGACAACGATGGTTCACGGGCGTCTTCGTCGCAATCTGGGTACATGCAGATGCCATTTCGTTCCTTATATAAGTACCCTATTTAGCAGTATATCACTCCTTCCTTTTCTTTTATTCTTTTATGTGAATTCCTCTACATATAATTAAACCGATGGTATCCCATGCGTACGATTTCTTTTGTAGTAGTAATTTCATTAAAGTTAGATGTCAAAAATAAATTTATAAAGTGATTGCGTCTGTAATTGACATTTATCTTTCAATTCTGTCAGCTATTTTTTGCTGAAAGATTTACTAAAAACAATCAGTGACAATATTATTATGCTCCTAGCATGTTTGTTTGTTGTAGGATGGCTACTTGCTAATTTTTCTTTCATATTCATAGTAAAATATTTACAAATAAGAAAAAAATGCTCGTGGATTACTGTGGACATTAAAAATTACAACAAATAATTGAAGAATGCTGGAAAGCATTGTATTATTATTATTTTGCAACCATGAAGAAATCTATAAGGATAAATCATACTGTGGCAAATTCTTTAGCGGTAAGGTTACCAGTAAGTAAGGTTGCACTGAAAGCATCCACGAAGTATTACGGGAAATCACCTCATGAATTTCTTAAATTTATCAAAATTTTAAACATGTTTGTCAACTTGCAGTATAACATGTAAATGGTATAACAATAGTTGTAGCAATAATTATTAGCAAAATTTGCTATTTTCTTCATTTCGTTGCTACAAAAATTTAGTTGTTTATGCGATCAATCTTTCATGATCAGTCAATGTAAAAATTAGAAATTATTGATGAAATATGGCTGATCTTTGACTTACACACAATCTCTGAAATTTTTTGCTAAATGACATGATCACATTATCAGTACTGATGCAGATCAATTTTTTTTTTTGAATTGTTAATTGAAAATGAATTTTGTCCATGTGCCTTTTTTATTAATTTGCAGAGAGTAAAGTGAGTAATTTCCACGACATATATGGCCTTAGGAATTAGCATGTGAAGAGACAAAAGCAGATCATTTATTTGAACATTATTCAACAGATAAATACTATTTATTCTCCATCTAATTTTATTGATCGCTTTTCAGTCAATAAAAGGGACAATTGCGCCATTTTTTATCTACATGTGTATTTTTTAGAACATAGATTTATTTAGTAATGAATTAAAAAATATAATTGTCTATTGATATGAAGAACATCAAATGGATCTCTGTTTCATTATAATTAGTAACGAGAAAAGAAAAATTTGTTCAACATGTTAAAGATTAGAGCTGCTTTCTTATGATAAGTGGAAAACAACTTTTTGCATATTGAATTTAAATAAATTAATAATGAACAATTATGATAAGTAAGTTAAAAATGCATCATCTCTCTTCCTTATAATAGCATTTCTTTGCTTAAAACAACTTTGCGATGTCAACTTTTCTTATAAATTATTAGGTGAATACTTTTTTTCTCATTTGGGATGCTTTTTAATATTAGCTCTTTGTATCATAAATTGTTCATTTTAGTTGTGAACCCATTTGCTAATCATTTTTTACTAGTTCATGGAATAATAAATAAAGATAAAATAGGAAAAATTCCAATGATAAAATGAAATTATAAATTGGTAGCTGCATTCTGATACCTCGAAAACATCAAATTGCTACGCTCCTTTTCTTATTGTTTGCGAAGAATGCCCAAATTGTGTCTCATTTTCTGGAATGAAAATTTTTGCTTGTTTTGTAACGCCAAAAGAAATGATTAGCAGTTTATCGCAGCTTGGTTTTGTGGATGAAATGATATGCTTTTCTGCATACTTTCCATGAATTAGAAAAACAAAGCCAATTTCGCCAAGAGTGGATGGAATATTCATTACTTTGCTAATATTTTCAATGTTTGTTGATGTATATTGAAACGTCACTGCCACCACTGTCAACACCTCTTTAAGCAGTTGGTTCTTCTTAGGTCACTCTGCGGTCACAAATGCTTCGCAACAAATTTTACATGCATTCTATTTCAGGCTGACATACCTATTAAAATTCTGCTAAATTTATAAACTAACGAGATTTTGTAGGGCAGCGCTTCTTATGATAATTCAGTCCATTCCTGCTAACGAAAAGTTTGCCACAGCGCTCGCACTGAGGATGAAATTCATGCGTTTGCTTATGATAATAAAGTGTTGAATCATGGTTGAATGTCCGCCCACAACCGGCCACTCTGCATTCATAGATGAAAGGTTGACCATGTGTTTTCCTATGTGTTAGATATTCTTTGCGAATTTTCGTGACCGTAGCACATCCGGGATAAAGGCATTCATAGCATCGTTCGTCTGAATTGATATTTTTGCAATTGATATTTTATTATGGTGTTTAGCAGCTAATTAAGTATTCTGATAAACCATAAAAACATCGTTGCTATGAAATAATCTTACCACATCTCGTTTCAAATAATTTAGATCACAAAAAGCTGTAGAATTACCTTCACTTATAATTGAACAAAAAGTGTAATTGTAAATTTTTCGTTTGTTGTCACTCAGCGCTCACAAATCATACCACATTTTAAGCGTATTCCATTTCAGATTGATATATGTGTTCTGTTAATACAAACTAACGAGATTTTTTTTGGCAGAGTCTCTTGTGTTTTCGCAGTGCATTCCTGTTAACGAGGAATTTGCCACAATCCTCGCACTGAGGACGAGGTTCATGCGTTTCTATGTGAGTATAAAATGATGATCTATGGTCGAATGTTCGCCCACAATCGGGCACTTTGCATTCATAGATGAAGGGTTGACCGTGGGTTTTCCTATGTGTTAGATATTCTTTGCGAGCTTTCGTGATCACTGTACATCCCAGGTAATGACAAGTATAATCATTCTTATCTGGAAAATTTTTGTCAAACATTTATTTTTACAATCAGTAGTTTATTACACTATTCAGTACTTAAGTAATGTAAGAAATCATAAAAATAAAATAATATCACATTGCATTTTAAATGGCTTAGATAATTAGTAGTTGTTTATTTATCTTCGCACATATTTGTAGCAAAAATCACTTTTAATATCTTCCTTAAAAAGGTCTCACTTAGCAGGTAATTGTGAATTTTCTGCTGTGATGAAATTATTTTCGATTCGTTATTACTTCTTTCTTCAATATCACGTTATTAATGAAGTAAGGAATTATTAGAACGGAAATTTGTTATGCAATTTGTCATTACCTGTTTCTAATCCTTTATAGGCATTTTCCTATAATTGAGGATATTCAAGTTATCCGAAAAGTGCTTATTGTCGATGTTGCTCCGTTCAGCATGTTAAGTTAGATCCGATATCAACGATAACTCTGATGATGGCAATTGGCTTTTCCATTGAATATTGCGCTCATATCACATATGCTTTTGTGAGTAATCCAAACAAAGTGACACCATTTGAACGTTGCATTGAAGCAATGGAAAAGTTAGCTTTCCCAAGTAAGCTCTTATTTTATGCAAATTATTATTTAAAGGAAAAACTTTTTAAATGAAATTCTTATTTAAAATCAAAAAGTAATATACTGTATATATAATTCTACAAATTCAAATTGTTATGAAAATTCTTTTTAAAAATGGAAGATTATATTTTCTATACATACATAATTCTACAAAACTTTAAATTGCTATGAAATTTTTATTTGAAAATGAAAGGTAAGATACTCTTTACATGCATATATTGCTTCAACTACTTTATTCTACAAAACATTAAATTGCTCTTTTATTCCTCGCTATATCTTATTAGTTGCTATTTTAATAAAGTATTGGATTTTATAGTTTCCTTTTATAGTTATGATAATTATTTAGGAATAACAAATATTAATTATTATTACAGTTATATACGGCAGCATGTCAACAATATTTGGTGTTACAATTCTAGCATTCATCAATTCTTATATGATACTTGTATTTTTTAAAACAATTTTTCTAGTAATTATTATTGGTGTCTTTCATGCTCTTATTTTATTACCTATTATTTTATCAATAACTGCACCAATGATTGATCAAATTACTCAAAAATTTTGTGGTTTAGTTGAAAATTTGAATGAAAAAGACACTCATACTTCTATTCCTGAAATTGTCACTAATATTCATTAATTTATACATTTTACGAAGTTTTCAACACCAATTTCTGCTGTTATTTATTTCAATGTCTCTGTGCCTTCTTTGTAACTCTGTTAACGCAAACCATTTAATAAAATCCTATGATCTTGTAAACTTGATATTTATATGTCAAATCACAAAACACACACACAAACAGATTTAAAAAGGAAAAATTTTTAAAGCTTAAAAAAAAGTAAGGGAAGTTGCTGATCAATTAATTTTAAATTGGATTATATCATTATTCATTAATAAAATTTAGCAGATATTTCAAATTTAAATTTACAATAAGTCTTTTCTATCGGTTATAAATGAAATATACTACCTAAAAGTAATGCAAGCATGAAAACAGTCCGTGATAATCTTTAAGAATTTCCCTTTCATCTGCTTAATTTGCTATTATTGTTCTTGACTAAATATACGAGTTAAAATGGTTATTTTAACTAATTACAGCATCATTTTTAGTAATCATTTTGAATCATTCAAAAAATATGACTAATTTGCTATTTGTAGCAAATGCTGAAATGTACCTTTCCAGTTATTATTGATTTCACAAATAAACTTAAATAAAATTTGACACATTTTACCTTTATTCATTATAAGACTGCATGAAGTGAACAGTTCAAAGCAACAATTTCTTTATTACTATTTTAAAGAATAAATTACAATTGTTAAATTACAAAAAACCAAAAACAAAAACAGTACAATAATTGCAAAAAAATTTATACGGGAAAATAATTTTCCATTAAATGCCATATAAAATGGATTTACTAATTCATTTGGTTCTGTAATACTGTTGCGCGACTTTAAAAGAAAAAAGAAATTAATCCAGTCTGAAACATCTCGCATTTAATTGCTTGCCTTCAAATTTCGCTGTCAATTATACGTTTATGCATTTCTATTATATTCATGGGATAATGAATAACGATAAAATATTAAATAATCCAATAACAAAATTAAATTATAAATTATTAGCTGCATTCTGATGCTTCGAAAACGGCTGATTGCTGCGCTCCTCTTCTTATGTTTGCGAAGAATGCCCAAATTGTATCTCATTTTCTGGAATGAAAATTTTTGCTTGTTTTGTAACGCCAAAAGAAATGATTAGCAGTTCATCGCAGCTTGGTTTTGTGGATGAAATGATATGCTTTTCTGCATACTTTCCATGAATTAGAAAAACAAAGCAATTTGGCCAAGAGTGGATGGAATATTTATTACGTTGCTAATATTTTCAATGTTTGTTGATGTATATTGAAACGTCACTGCCACCACTGTCAACACCTTTTTAAGCAGTTGGTTCTTAGGTCACTCTGCGGTCACAAATGCTTCGCAACAAATTTTACATGCATTCTATTTCAGGCTAACATATCTATTAAAATTCTGCTAAATTTATAAACTAACGAGATTTTGTTTGGCAGATCTTTTTGTGGTTTTGCAGTCCATTCCTGGTGGTGAAGAATTTGCCACAATCCTCGCACTGAGGATGAGGTATATGCGTTTCCTTGTGTTTGCGAAATGACGATTCACTGCTGAATATTCGCCCACAACCGGGCGCTCTGCATTCATAGATGAAGGGCTGACCGTGTGTCTTTCTATGTGTCACATATTCGTTGCGACTTGTCGGGATCACAGTACACCCGGGATAAAGACATTCGTAGCTTTTTCCACCTAAAAAACTCTTATAATATTTGTTTTTTCAATTGCCATTCTGTTACAATGTTTGGCAACTAATTATGTAATCTGATTATTTATAAAAATATCACTCCTTAGCACATCTCATTTCAAATAATTTACATCACTAGAAGCTATGTTTTCTAAAAATTTTCTGTGTATTTTTTCTTGTACATGCATTCTATTTTAAGCTGTCATATACTTCTAAAATTCTGTTAAATTTGCAAACTAACGAGATTTTATTTGGCAGAGTTTCCTATGTCTAAATAGTATATTCATGGTACTGAAGAATTTGCCGCAATCCTCGCACTGAGGATTAGATTCATGCGTTTGCTTGTGGCTATGAAATGTTGAATCATGGTTGAATGTCCGCCCACAACCAGCCACTCTGCATTCATAGATGAAGGGTTGACCATGTATTTTCTTATGTGTTATATATTCCTTGTAACTGTTCGTGATCATAGTACATCCGAGATAAAAGCATTCGTAGCATCGTTCATCTGAAAAACTCTTATATTTGTTTTTGCAATTGATATTTTATTATAGTTTTTGGCAGCTAATTGACTAGTGTGATAAACCAGAAAATATCACTCCCATGAAATAATCTTATCACATTCATTTCAAATAATTTAGATCATAAGAAGTTGCTTAATCATTTTCGAGTATAGTTACAACAAAAAGTATAATTGTGATTTCTCTATTGCATCAACACTCGCGGTCACAGATATTTCACAATGGATTTCACAGACACTCTATTCCAGGTTGACATATGTGTTTAAAATTTTGCTAGATTTGCAAACTAACGAGATTTTGTAGGGCAGCGCTTCTTATGATAAGTCAGTACATTCTTGCTGACAAAGACTTTGCCACAGCACTCGCATTGAGGATGAGGTTCATGCGTCTGCATGTGATTGTAAAATGATGATTTATGGTCAAATGTTCGCCCACAATCGGGCACTTTGCATTCATAGATGAAGGGTTGACCGTGTGTTTTCTTATGTGTTGCATATTCTTTGTAATTTTTCGTGATCACAGTACATCCCGGGTAATGACAAGTATAATTTTTCATATCTGAAAAATTCTTGTCAAAGCATTTTGCAATCAGTAGTCCATTACACCATTTGGTACTTAAATAATGTTGGAATCATAAAAATGTCATTATCATAAAAATATCACATTGCATTTTGAATAACTTAGGTAAATGTAGTTCTTTACTTACTTTCTCACATTTTGAAGCCAAAGTCATACTTTGAATGTCACCTCTTCAATTTCATGCGAATAATGAAAGCAAAGAACTATTAGAACGAAAAGTTGTTATGCAATGTGTCATTACCTGTTTCTGCTTCTTTATAGGCATTTCCCCTGTAATCGAGGATATTCAAATAATCTGAATGCTTATTGTCGATGTTGCTCTGTTCAGCAGTTGCATTTTGACTGGAAGTATCATCTGGGGGAAGAGTAAGTTGGTGAAAATAAATCGGAACGGCATTTTGTTGTGAGCCAGGTAAGTGCATATATGTGATAATATCGTCGCTGTTGAGATTAAGTGAGGAAGAAGTTTCATTCTGAGCATCTAAATAACTCAAATTACAAGAAGTTTATTTATCTTTAAATGTATCTAAAACAAAAGTCTCACCTCCAATGGAAGGATATCGCAGGTTATCATCACTCGTTTTTAATTCTTCGTTAGCATCTCTCCACAGATTCCTGTATGAGTCCATATCTGAGCTAAGTGATAACTCAAAATTATTGTGGCCATAGATATCGGAGAAGCCAGGATAAGGAGAATTTGTGATCTGATTAGTTTCGGATTTCGATTCTTCACTGCTTATATCCTCAGTTTCACTCAACTGAGCGAAATCAATGAGCTGTGAAGGATCGGATGGAAATTCTGAGCTAAACATTGGCTCAAAATTGAGGTAATCGAGAAATCCAAAGGTATCTGAGATGCCAGAATAAGTATTATTTGTAATAACTTCATTAGCAGTGTCGAAATTAGGTAGATGGAAAGTTTCATTATCAGAAGCGATGCATAGTAGAAGATTGAACCAAGTGATGGGTGTCATAAATATATTGAAGAACATGGTGAAACACACAATTTTGTGAGATGACAGAAATGCTCAAATGGAAGCTTTTTATTTCAGATTGCTTGGAATTCAAGACCAAAGGTTCAAATAGTTTTTAATCTGCATTGTGAAAATTAAACACCAAAGGTGAAACAGTTTTAAATCCGCATTGTAAGTTTATAAATATTCTTTTGAAACCCGAAGAAGCGCTGCAGTAGCTTGTTCTATCATTTCAGTAATACATGTACACTGGGTGACATCGCAAAAAATGGTATTCTGATGCATTTAATAAAATGGTTTGTTATACATACCACTAATAATATCACTGATAGAACTTCATTGGATCACCTGAAATTTGATAAATATTGCTTATCGACATACATCCATAACTATTCCTACTATTATAAAAAAATTTCAACATAAGCTGAAGCGGTATTTGATATTTGAAAGGATGGAATAAATTTCAAAAAAAAAAGTTTGGTTGACATTTGCATAAAGGAAACTAATGAATAGCTCTAATTAAATGTCATTGAAATATTTAATCTGTACAGTATTCAATAATCCTGTCTACTTTGTTTAATAAAATATTGTATATTGAGTGGTAAATAAAATATTAAATGAATTATTTGCATGTTGTAAAAATTTTAGGTTTTAAATTTTGGTGACATCAATTAACTGACAACTGGAAATATATTGGTTTACTTCCGATGTTTGTTCTTAACTATTGTTTACCATCTTACTCACACTTTAATTGATCATATCTAACTCTGATTTATTAATTTATTGCTGGATTTGTGTTAAAAAATTTTAATTCCGCATTTCAGTAATAAGTTATCATTTTAAATTGATATTTCAAATAAATTTTGTTATTATTATGAAAAGAATTTTGCCCCCAAAATTTCGACCGAAGGTATAGCGTCAGAGAAATTTCCCAATAAGTTCAAATTTATGTTATAATTCTTTAAATTTCAAATTTGTAAATTGCCTAATTTTCCGGAATTTGGGTTTCTGATAAATTCACTGCTGAAATTAATTGAATATGATACAAAATATTTGCAAGGTACTAAAGCTAAAATGGTATTAAAATTCAATTATGTGTTAGCGATTTTTTATTTATTGCCGTATTTGATAAAAAAGTTTTTAATTCTTTATTTTTATTTATTGTGTTTAAGTCAATATCGAAGTTCATAAAATCTACCTCTTTTAGAGATTATTGACGTATTTAAATCACGTCCCACTTAATAGCGTATCTCTTTTAAAGATTCTTAAAAAGTTTTATTTCAAATTAATTCCAATTCTTTGAAATTTATGTTAGTACACAAGTTTGTCTTTTTCTGTTTTTCAAATCAAAATTGACTTTCATTGACAATCATTAATAAATAAATTTATCAGGAAAGAATGGTAAGTTTCTTTTAGCAATTTCGAGTACTGCAATGTAAACTCTGATAATAATATGCTTCTATAAATATTGATAACGAATTCCACACTAAAAATAACTAATCGAGCTGTTAATTAGCTATAAAACATAATATTATTGATAAGGAAGACAAATCCTTTTCATCCATGCCTTTGCAACAAAATGATAAATTGAAGTTTTTTTATATTTTTTTATTTCAAACAGCCATTAATTGTGCAAAATTTCAAGGTTTATTAGCGCATTTTAATAATTGTAAGAATATGCAATTACAAAATTATTACTTCTGTCACTTAATTTATACTACTTCAATCCGTCATTGTCGCAAACTCTATGATAATACTCATTTAAAATAATTCTTTGAGTAGCACTTGATGAAATAGCAAATCACAGTATTTAGTGTATTTTTTTCTGCTTAATAGTGAACATTAAAAGTGAGAAAAATTTTTTTTAAAAAAATGTTTAAAAATAAATTAGTGATAACTTTTTGAAGTATTTTTCTAAAGCCTTTTAATCATTGCTAATTTATAATTGTTTTTTGTTATTTACAAAGTTAACATTTGTAAACGACTTAAAATTTACATATTTCGTTGTATGCAAAATTCATCAGTCAATATCTTTATCCTTTAGTTTTATGAGTTTTGAGAAGTTTTAGTTGAGAATTTTCAATCATTGTAAAATAATGATTAATTAATATAAATAGAAAATTAGTGAAATATATTAATAGAAAAAGTTGGAATGATATAGTGATTAAATAAATTAGTTATGATAGATTAAATTATATGTGATAAATGTTTTAATAGTTTCCTAAAATTTGCGAGAGATAAACAGATTTAATAGAATTTAAAATTTTTTATCACAAATATGGCAATAAATAAAAAATCGCTAATACAGAATTGAATTTTAATATCATTTTAGCTTTAGTACCTTGCAAATATTTTGTATCATATTCAATTAATTTCAGCAGTGAATTTATTGAAAACCTAAACTCCGGAAAATTAGGTAATTTACAAATTTGAAATTTTGAAGAATTATAATATAAATTTGAATTTACTTGTGATTTTTCCATTGGCGCTATGCCTTCAGCCGATATTTTGATCGCAAAATAATAATACCATAAATTATTTGAAATGTCAATTTAAAATGATAATTATTACTGAAATATTGATTTAAAAATTTTTTATCACAAATTCAGCAATGAATCAATAAAATCCTGTAAATCGCTAATACAGAATTGAATTTTTATATCAATTTTAGCTTTAGCAAACTCTTAATGTGAAAAAGAATTTTATAATTATGTGGAATAATGCATAAATATTAAAAAAAGGAAATGGTCGGTAAATTTTTGAATCAAATAATCCAATAAAATATTAGTAGCAATATTGCCAATAGAGCAATACTCATAGAAGCAGTAAATAGGCTAACGCTGACCATGACCCCATCTCTTCTTTTTCATTAGAATTATCATCGAATGGTTCTTTCCATAGGAGAAGGGGTAAACCTAGGCAGAAGTACTGCTTTTGCTTGATATCCACGGGTAGTTCACATTAGGGATGGATAAGAAACAACCCCGGCCAACTGTTCCCATTTTATAGTATACTGCTTTCTTGAAAGTCACATTAGCACTCATTATTATGTCATGCTGTCAACTATATTTGTTGATTATATTTGTTGCTCCTCTACCTTGGAGTTGAACTATTTTTTGGAGTTGATTTGAGACCGGACATCCACCGCAAAACGTTCATGTTAGATTTATTGAATTTTGTGCAATAATAATAATTCCACTTACACTTCAATAATAATAAGTCCAATATTCAAGTAATGTCATAAGAAAAAGAATCATTGGAAAGTGATCCCCAATTCTCGGGTAGTTGAAACATTTTCCTGAGACTATAGTATTAAGCAAATCAGTTCGTAGCCTTTTACTCATTAAACTTGTCACAAATCATAACCGACAATAGAACAGAACAGAAAAAAAAGATCTCTTATAAAAACATTTTTGTTTTGATTTGAGACCTGGATTTTACCGCAAAAGTTCATGCTAGATTTATCGAAATTAAATTTTGTGCTGATTAACTGACGAAAGGTTGTAATTGTCAATCAACTGACATTTAAATCTAAAATTTCCATAATGTGCAAATAATTCAGTAGCAATATTTTTTTAAGAAATGCAATTAGGATTATTCAATACTGTATAGATTAAACATTTCATCACCTACTGATATTTGATTCCAACTATTCATCAATTTCCATTCATGCATTTTGATTTTGTGCAATTACTTCTATCACTTGCTTGAAAACTTCTTTACCTTACTGATTCATTATTTGAGTTGCTGAATTAATTTGAAGAAAGGCAGAGATTAAAATGAAAAGAATGGTGTTTTAAACTTCTGGTTAGTGAGAATCATTATTAATTACCACTGCTTTGACCATTATCCATTCACACTAAAGTTTTCACATATCTCCTATCAATTCATTGTGTGTTACTTTCCATTTCTGACCGATCTGAGGATTATGTCTACTACAGTTCGATCGATTGTGAATTATTGCATATGTTGAGATAGAATTGGATATGATCAATTAAAATATGAGTAAGATGGTAAACAATAGCTAAGAATAAATAACGAGAATAAACCAATATATTTCCAGTTGTCAGTTAATTGATGTCACCAAAATTTAAAACCTAAAATTTTTACAACATGCAAATAATTCATTCAATATTTTATTTACCACTCAATATACAATATTTTATTAAACAAAGTAGACAGGATTATTATATACTGCACAGATTAAATATTTCAATGACATTTAATTCCAGCTATTCATTAGTTTCCTTTATGCAAATGTCAACCAAACTTTTTTTTTTGAAATTTGTTCCATCCTTTCAAATATCAAATACCGCTTCAGCTTATGTTGAAATTTTTTTATAATAGTAGGAATAGTTATGGATGTATGTCAATAAGCAATAATTATCAAATTTCAAGTGATCCAATGAAGTTCTATCAGTGATATTATTAGTGGTATGTATAACAAACCATTTTATTAAATGCATCAGAATACCATTTCTTGCGATGTCACCCAGTGTACATGTATTACTGAAATGATAGAACAAGCTACTGCAGCGCTTTCGGGTTTCAAAAGAACATTTATAAACTTTACAATGCGGATTTAAAACTGTTTCACCTTTGGTGTTTAACTTTTCACAATGCAGATTAAAAGCTATTTGAACCTTTGGTCTTGAATTCCAAGCAATCTGAAATAAAAAGCTTCCATTTGAGCATTTCTGTCATCTCACAAAATTGTGTGTTTCACCATGTTCTTCAATATATTTATGACACCCATCACTTGGTTCAATCTTCTACTATGCATCGCTTCTGATAATGAAACTTTCCATCTACCTAATTTCGACACCGCTAATGAAGTTATTACAAATAATACTTATTCTGGCATCTCAGATACCTTTGGATTTCTCGATTACCTCAATTTTGAGCCAATGTTTAGCTCAGAATTTCCATCCGATCCTTCACAGCTCATTGATTTCGCTCAGTTGAGTGAAACTGAGGATATAAGCAGTGAAGAATCGAAATCCGAAACTAATCAGATCACAAATTCTCCTTATCCTGGCTTCTCCGATATCTATGGCCACAATAATTTTGAGTTATCACTTAGCTCAGATATGGACTCATACAGGAATCTGTGGAGAGATGCTAACGAAGAATTAAAAACGAGTGATGATAACCTGCGATATCCTTCCATTGGAGGTGAGACTTTTGTTTTAGATACATTTAAAGATAAATAAACTTCTTGTAATTTGAGTTATTTAGATGCTCAGAATGAAACTTCTTCCTCACTTAATCTCAACAGCGATGATATTATCACATATATGCACTTACCTGGCTCACAACAAAATGCCGTTCCGATTTATTTTCACCAACTTACTCTTCCCCCAGATGATACTTCCAGTCAAAATGCAACTGCTGAACAGAGCAACATCGACAATAAGCATTCAGATTATTTGAATATCCTCGATTACAGGGGAAATGCCTATAAAGAAGCAGAAACAGGTAATGACACATTGCATAACAACTTTTCGTTCTAATAGTTCTTTGCTTTCATTATTCGCATGAAATTGAAGAGGCGACATTCAAAGTATGACTTTGGCTTCAAAATGTGAGAAAGTAAGTAAAGAACTACATTTACCTAAGTTATTCAAAATGCAATGTGATATTTTTATGATAATGACATTTTTATGATTCCAACATTATTTAAGTACCAAATGGTGTAATGGACTACTGATTGCAAAATGCTTTGACAAGAATTTTTCAGATATGAAAAATTATACTTGTCATTACCCGGGATGTATAGTGACCACGAAAAATTACAAAGAATATGCAACACATAAGAAAACACACGGTCAACCCTTCATCTATGAATGCAAAGTGCCCGATTGTGGGCGAACATTTGACCATAAATCATCATTTTACAATCACATGCAAACGCATGAACCTCATCCTCAATGCGAGTGCTGTGGCAAAGTCTTTGTCAGCAAGAATGTACTGACTTATCATAAGAAGCGCTGCCCTACAAAATCTCGTTAGTTTGCAAATCTAGCAAAATTTTAAACACATATGTCAACCTAGAATAGAGTGTCTGTGAAATCCATTATGAAATATCTGTGACCGCGAGTGTTGATGCAATAGAGAAATCACAATTACACTTTTTGTTGTAACTATACTCGAAAATGATTAAGCAACTTCTTGTGATCTAAATTATTTGAAATGAATGTGATAAGATTATTTCATGGGAGTGATATTTTCTGGTTTATCACACTAGTCAATTAGCTGCCAAAAACTATAATAAAATATCAATTCAGACAGATGAACGATGCTATGAATGCCTTTATCTCGGATGTGCTATGGTCACGAAAAGTTACAAGGAATATGTAACACATAAGAAAACACATGGTCAACCCTTCATCTATGAATGCAGAGTGGCCGGTTGTGGGCGGACATTCAACCATGATTCAACATTTCATAGCCACAAGCAAACGCATGAATCTAATCCTCAGTGCGAGGATTGCGGCAAATTCTTCAGTACCATGAATGTACTATTTAGACATAGGAAACTCTGCCAAATAAAATCTCGTTAGTTTGCAAATTTAACAGAATTTTAGAAGTATATGACAGCTTAAAATAGAATGCATGTACAAGAAAAAATACACAGAAAATTTTTAGAAAACATAGCTTCTAGTGATGTAAATTATTTGAAATGAGATGTGCTAAGGAGTGATATTTTTATAAATAATCAGATTGCATAATTAGTTGCCAAACATTGTAACAGAATGGCAATTGCAAAAACAAATATTATAAGAGTTTTTTAGGTGGAAAAAGCTACGAATGCCTCTATCCGGTGTTGCGACAAGTCGCAACGATTATGTGACACATAGAAAAACACACGGTCAACCCTTCGTCTATGAATGCAGAGCGCCCGGTTGTGGGCGAATATTCGACTATAAATCATCATTTTACAATCACATACAGATGCATGAACCTCATCCTCAGTGCGAGGGTTGTGGCAAATTCTTCACCAACAGGAATGGACTGCAAAACCACAAAAAGCGCTGCCCAAAATCTCGTTAGTTTATAAATTTAGTAGAATTTTAATAGATGAAACGAGATGTGGTAAGATTATTTCATAGCAGCGATATTTTTATGGTTTATCAGATTACTTAATTAGCTGCTAAACGCCATAATAAAATATCAATTACTAAAATATCAATCAGATGAACATGCTATGAATGCCTTTATCCCAGATGTGCTATGGTCACGAAAAGTCGTAACGAATATCTAACACATAGGAAAACACATGGTCAACCTTTCGTCTATGAATGCAGAGCGCCCGGTTGTGGGCGAATATTCGACCATAAATCATCATTTTACAATCACATACAGATGCATGAACCTCATCCTCAGTGCGAGGGTTGTGGCAAATTCTTCACCAACAGGAATGGACTGCAAAACCACAAAAAGATCTGCCAAACAAAATCTCGTTAGTTTATAAATTTAGCAGAATTTTAATAGATATGTCAGCCTGAAATAGAATGCATGTAAAATTTGTTGCGAAGCATTTGTGACCGCAGAGTGACCTAAGAACCAACTGCTTAAAGAGGTGTTGACAGTGGTGGCAGTGACGTTTCAATATACATCAACAAACATTGAAAATATTAGCAACGTAATAAATATTCCATCCACTCTTGGCCAAATTGCTTTGTTTTTCTAATTCATGGAAAGTATGCAGAAAAGCATATCATTTCATCCACAAAACCAAGCTGCGATGAACTGCTAATCATTTCTTTTGGCGTTACAAAACAAGCAAAAATTTTCATTCCAGAAAATGAGATACAATTTGGGCATTCTTCGCAAACATAAGAAGAGGAGCGCAGCAATCAGCCGTTTTCGAAGCATCAGAATGCAGCTAATAATTTATAATTTAATTTTGTTATTGGATTATTTAATATTTTATCGTTATTCATTATCCCATGAATATCATAGAAATGCATAAACGTATAATTGACAGCGAAATTTGAAGGCAAGCAATTAAATGCGAGATGTTTCAGACTGGATTAATTTCTTTTCTTAAAGTCGCGCAACAGTATTACAGAACCAAATGAATTAGTAAATCCATTTTATATGGCATTTAATGGAAAATTATTTTCCCGTATAAATTTTTTTGCAATTATTGTACTGTTTTTGTTTTTTGTTTTTTGCAATTTAACAATTGTAATTTATTCTTTAAAATAGTAATAAAGAAATGGTTGCTTTGAACTGTTCACTTCATGCAGTCTTATAATGAATAAAGGTAAAATGTGTCAAATTTTATTTAAGTTTATTTGTGAAATCAATAATAATTGAAAGGTAAATTTCAACATTTGTCACAAAAGCAAATCAGTCATAATTTTTAAATGATTCAAAACAATTTTGTGATTATTAAAAATAATACTGTAATTAGTTAAAATAACCATTTTAACTCTTACATTTAGTAAAGAACAATAATAGCACAATAAATAGATGAAAGGAAATTCTTAAAAAATATTCCGGACTGTTTTCATGCTTGCATTACTTTTAGATAGTATATTTCATTTAAAATTTTAGCTTTAGTACTTGCAAAATATTTTGATGACATCATATTCAAATTATTTTAGCGGAGAATTCATTAAAATGTGAATTTCAAAATGTTACAAAGTTAACAAAATTGAAATTTTATATAATGATAAAATAAATATAACTTATTTGATATTTTCTCTGGTGTTATAGCTTCTGTCGATATGACCCTCCATTTTTCGTCATAATTCTTTCCATAATATTGTTGCCAATTGTTTGAATATAAATTATTTGAAGATATTGAAATGGTGGCTTTCAAATTTAGAAATATTGCATTTAACAAAATTAAAAAAATAAATTTGGTTTTGTCAGATTGGTCTACTTGTATGCATTAACGTAACATAACTGTTTAAAATTAAAATTCATTTCTGTTAATAAAATTCTGATATAACACGTGAAAGCTATCAAGATATTTATTATACATTATTTTTATGCTATCATGATTAATTTCTCTAAAGATTATATACTTCAACTTCTTATGTATTTAGCTAACAATTTTAACTATTTATTGTAAATTAAACATTATTTTCATTTGATTTTTTTTTATTTGAAGTTTTTTAAAATACAAATTTCAACAAATTTTGCATATAACGAAATAAATTTTAAATTATTTACAAATGTTAACTTTTGTAAATAATAAAAACAATGATGTAATAGAAGTTCTTTCATTATCTACCATTTACTTTGCACGTTAAGACTTAGACTAAATTGCAACTAGCTTACTTTTTTTTCTTATAAAAGCATTTCTTTGCTTAAAATCATCTCGTGTTGCTCACTTTTGCCACAAATTATTATTAAAATAATACTTCTCTAGTATGTTTTTTATTACCTTTTTGCATGATAAATCCTTTATTGAGCGTTGCATTTAATTGTCGCGGATTTTAATTTCGCGAAGCACTAAATAAATGTTAACAATGCTTAATATAGCAATCCATTGATGTCTTTTACAATTCATTGTACTGGTTTAATTAACTTTTGATCTCATATCAATTCATTTACTTTGTGAACAATATATTGTAATGTCTATTGTAACTCATAGTAGCCAATTATCATAATGTCTAGACAAACCATAGTACTTTCTTTTGTAATATCCATTCAATTCATCGTGATATCCATATTTAAACCTATTGTTAAAGTTACTTACTATCATACTTTGTACAAAAATGTCTAATTATAAACCATTTCTACATTTTAACATATATAATATAAGATAATTACTACATAAGGTTCACCCTTGTTAAAAGATTGGGGATGTGTGTAATTTATAGCCAAGGACCGACGATTCCAATTTCAATTGTTCTCTATCAACGTTTTGTCCTATTACTTCTGCTAATAAAAAAATTGGTTTATATTTCTGTTACCTCACGCATTTACATCCAAGACAATCTCCTGCGATCAAACACCTCTTCCAATATTATTAATTAAGCAAACCAAACCTTCCACAACATTAATTGCTTGCCCTCAAATTTTAGGTTTCATTGTCAATTATATATTTATGCATTTCTATGATATTCATGGGATAATAAACAACGATAAAATATTAAATAATCCAGTAACAAAATTAAATTATAAATTATTAGCTGCATTCTGATACTTCGAAAACGTCTCATTGCTGCGCTCCTTTTCTTATGTTTGCGAAGAATGCCCAAATTGTATCTCATTTTCTGGAATGAAAATTTTTGCTTGTTTTGTAACGCCAAAAGAAATGATTAGCAGTTCATCGCAGCTTGGTTTTGTGGATGAAATGATATGCTTTTCTGCATACTTTCCATGAATTAGAAAAACAAAGCCAATTTCGCCAAGAGTGGATGGAATATTCATTACTTTGCTAATATTTTCAATGTTTGTTGATGTATATTGAAACGTCACTGCCACCACTGTCAACACCTTTTTAAGCAGTTGGTTCTTAGGTCACTCTGCGGTCACAAATGCTTCGCAACAAATTTTACATGCATTCTATTTCAGGCTGACATATCTATTAAAATTCTGCTAAATTTATAAACTAACGAGATTTTGTAGGGCAGCGCTTCTTATGATAATTCAGTCCATTCCTGCTAATGAAAAATTTGCCACAGAGCTCGCACTGAGGACGAGGTTCATGCGTCTGTATGTGATTGTAAAATGATGAATCATGGTCAAATATTCGTCCACAACCGGGCGCTCTGCACTCATAAATGTAGGGCAAACCGTGTGTTTTTCTATGTGTTATAAATTCTTTGCGACTTTTCGTTACCATAGCACATCCGGGGTTGAGACATTCATAGTTTTTTCCGCCTAAAAAACACTTATATTATTTGTTTCTGCAGTCGCCATTTTTTTTTCTTACAATGTTTGACAGCCAATTATGTAATCTGATTATTTATAAAAACATCACTTCTTAGCACATCTCATTTCAAATAATTTACATCACTAGAAGCTATGTTTTCTAAAAATTTTCTGTGTATTTTTTCTTGTACATGCATTCTGTTTTAAACTGTCATATACTTCTAAAATTCTGTTAAATTTGCAAACTAACGAGAATTTATTTGGCAGAGTTTCCTATGTCTAAATAGTGCATTCATGCTACTGAAGAATTTGCCGCAATCCTCGCACTGAGAAAGAGGTTCATGCGTCTGTATGTGATTGTAAAATGATGATTCATGGTCGAATGTTCGCCCACAACCAGGCACTCTGCATTCATAGATGAAAGGTTGACCGTGTGTTTTCTTATGTGTTAGATATTCGTTACGACTTTTCGTGACCATAGCACATCCGGGATAAAGGCATTCACAGCTTCGTTCGTCTGAATGATATTTTTGCAATTGATATTTTCTTATGCGATAAACCATAAAGATATCATTCCCATGAAATAACTTACCAGATTCCATTTTAAATAATTTAGATCACAAGAAATTGTTTAATTTTTCTTGAGTATAGTTACAACAAAAGCAGTAATTGTGAATTTTTCGTTGTGTTGTCACTCAGCACTCACAAATGTTTCGTAGCACATTTCACACGCATTCCACTTCAGGATGATACATGTGTTTGAAATTCTGTTAAATTTACAAACTGACGAGATTTTGTTTGGCAGAGTCTCTTGTGTTTTCGCAGTGCATTCCTGTTGGTGAAGATTTTGCCACAATCCTCGCACTGAGGACGAGGTTCATGCGTCTGTATGTGATTGTAAAATGATGATTCATGGTCAAATATTCGCCCACAACCGGACACTTTGCATTCATAGATGAAGGGCTGACTGTGTGTTTTCCGATGTGTTAGATATTCTTTGTGATTTTTCGTGGTCACAGTACATCCCGGGTAATAACAAGTATAATTTTTCTTATCTGAAAAATTCTTGTCAAAGCATTTTGCAATCAGTAGTCCATTACACCATTTGGCACTTAAATAATGTGAGAAATCATATAAATATCATCGCTATAAAAAAATATCACATTGCATTTTGAATAACTTAGGTAAAAGGTAGTTCTTTACTTACCTTCTCATATTTTGAAGCCAAAGTCATACTTTGAATATCACCTCTTCAATTTCATGCGAATAATGAAAGCAAAGAACTATTAGAACGAAAAGTTGTTATGCAATGTGTCATTACCTGTTTCTGATTTTTTATAGGCATTTTCCTTGTAATCGAGGATATTTAAGTAATCTGAATGCTTATTGTCGATGTTGCTTTGTTCAGCAGTTGCACTTTGACTGGAAGTGTTATCTGAGGAAAGAGTAAGCTGGTGAAAATAAATCGGAACGGCATTTTGTTGTGAGCCAGGTAAGTGCATATATGTGATAATATCATCGCTGTTGAGATTAAGTGAGGAAGAAGTTTCATTCTGAGCATCTAAATAACTCAAATTACAAGAAGTTTATTTATCTTTAAATGTATCTGAAACAAAACTCTCACCTCT